AACCACTACCGCAACTAAGCCTGCTACCGATAGAAAGCGCAGTAGCTGGTAGGAAGGAGACTTTCAACAGCTATATTTTCAAGGTGTTGAAGCAAGTGCATCCTAAGACTGGTATATCCAAGAAGAGCATGATGATCATGAACTCCTTGGTGAGCGACACCTTCGACCGAATAGTCTCCGAGGCTGGGCGACTTTGCAAGTATAGCAATAAAGGAACTCTGTCTAGCCGCGAGATTCAGACTGCGATCCGCCTGGTTCTTCCAGGTGAACTCGCTAAGCACGCCGTTAGCGAGGGAACCAAAGCAGTGACCAAGTTCACTTCCGCCTAAGGTCCGCTGGCAGTTGTGACCATTTCAAGGCGTTTCTCAACGCCATCTTTCTAACCGTGTGCAGGAGTTTGTCGTTTCTCAATCAGGTGTTTTTCGCTGTTTTACCATATTTGTTTCAGAACATGCATTCGGTAGTTTCTTCGAAGACTCGGGTTCGTTAAGCACTCTAACGTCAATTAGCATTCCGCGATGACTGTCAAAACTAGCATTAATTCTGGAGCTCATCCCAACTATTCTGCTATGGTCAAGCAGGCCCTCACCACATGCAAGGGGTTCCAGAAAATGAGTCGCCAGGCCATACTCAGCTTCATTAAGCAAAACTTTGGTGTCGAGAACAAGGCTGCTTTGAACAAGGCTCTCAAAGCTCTCGTAGATTCTGGCCATGTCTCTCAAGCGAAGGCGTCATACAAGCTTGCTGCTGGGCAGAGGGTTGCCGCGAAGAAACCCGCGGTTGCGAAGAAATCCAAACCAACAACTTTGAAAAAGAAGGCTTCCACGAAGAAAGCCTCTACTAAAAAGACCACCACGAAGAAGACCACCACCAAGAAGACCACCACGAAGAAGACCGCTAGAAAGCCGGCCGCTCCGAAGACGAAAAAAACCGCAGGCACCAAGAAGGCTTCTATCCGTTCGAAGGGCATCCGCGAAGAAGCCGGCGTCCAAGAAAATCAAG